AACTCGTTACAACACTGCTCTAGACTTCTATTTACCTTGGCACACAGTTCCATTTCCAGAATATCCATTGTCACAAGTGCATAAGAATGCACCTTCAATGTTGGAGCAGTTGGAGTTTTCATGACAGTTGTCAAGAAATAGAGAACATTCATCGATGTCTTAAAAGATATAACAAACATTTTGAGCATCTGGTTTAAAATTGGCTTAATGTTGTTTTAAATTTAACTTGGCAAAACGTCCCATTTCCTGTGTATCCAATGTCGCAAGTACACAAGAAAAATCCGTCAGTGTTGGTGCAGTCTGAATTTATGTGACAGTTGTCGATAGACGAAAAACATTCATCTATGTCTAAAAAAATTTTACAAATAGTTTACTTAAATTGTCAAAAGGAATAATGCCGTTTCAGACAGCGTACTTTTCATGCGCCGAACTTACAGTGCGTCATTAGCCAATCAGCATTAGGCCAAAAACAATTTGAACAAATAAACGAATGTCATACGGTAAGAATAGACTTGAAAAGTAAACACTTGATTTGATTGGACGAGTTTTTGTTTGATTAGATTTTTATTTTTGTTCTGCAATGCGATTGGTTATTGTTCTCTAAGTGGCCCCACTTACTGTAGACGCACTGTAATTGACGAATTAGGTACGGCAGAAGAGCGACGTATGAATCAATTAAGTACGGCAGAATTTGGAGTGACAAAAGTTCGACACAAATTCAGCATAACCTGTGGCATTATGCGACGTTGGGGCGACATTGATTCTAAAAGCATTTTAAAATAAACTTTGTCTAAACCGAGAAAATCAAAGCTAAAGCTTATGTAAATTAGCGTGATTTTTATCACATATAAAACCACGACACGCTTATGATTTTTCTTTGTGTTTTGCTCCTGTATTATTAATGAGTTTTTTAATGATGTTTCCACTAAGCATGCTCAGTGTCAGGTATCTGTTAGAAGTCAGTTAAAGACCTCAACCAATGAAGACGCCAGACATGTATACAGTATCACAAGATCGGGTTGTAACATTCAGTATGATCGTTTTAACAATTGTCGAGAAGTTCTAAAGAAATTGGAGACAAAAAACTAGATAAAGTGAACAAGCTTGTATCACAGAGCATCGTGGATAAAGCCCTTCGGCAGCAAACGCTTGTATCAGATATGAAACAATGGCATCGAACCCTCAACAAATTACCCAAGAACATATTCAATTTTTGTATCCGTTACCTAAATAACACCTTACCAACCTTGAAGAATATGGTTCTTTGAAAGAAAAGCGAAAATGCATTATGTAAAGTATGCTACAACACACAAACCCTTCAACATGTTGTGTCTGCATGCAAAGTTCACCTAGAAGAGGGTCGTTATACATGGAGACATAATTCTGTGTTGAAGATTATTGCTGACTATTTGCTATCAATCACGAACAACATCGAACTATACTGTGATATCACAGGTTATATGAGCCCCTCTATCATTACTGTTGAACAAAACGTCCTGATATCGTGGTTATAGACAAACAACGGAGTTGGGTATTTGTTTTGGAATTAACTGTCAGTTTTGAGACCAGAATTAAAGACAATGCTGTATGTAAACACAATCATTATAGTGGTCTATGTTCTGAACTAAGACATCAGTATAACAGAGCAAAGTTTGTCAACATCTCGGTTGGAGCTTTGGGAATTCTGGGAAAGAGCAGTTGTTCATTCATGGACTTTATATCTAACGACTTGTTATTAGTTAATCAAAAAACTAATTATCTAACTGCTAAAATAGGTGCATGTATCTTAGTATAGTTATGATATAAAATTTGATTTTTCTATTATTATTATTATTATTATTATTATTATTATTATTATTATTATTATTATTATTATTATTATTATTATTATTATTATTATTATTACATGATTACTCGAGTCGACAAATGTAGTACATTTGGCATTAAGAAAAGTCTGACAAAATCAATCCAATACCTACCAAGACTCCTCATTGACAATAAATTAATACCGGCCACTAAAATAGGAGTCTTTCCGATACTTAGGGAAATATTTTGATTTCAATATGTCTGACAAAGATCACAAACAAGAACTAATCGCCCTCCTTGAAGATATCATGTCAGAAATTAACCTCAAACCGCTACACCCAAAGAACAAAATTTTACTCTATAGTCGTTATCTCCTATCGAAATTCTCCTGGCATTTTACTGTCGCTACCTTATCAAAAACGTGGGTTTCTGAAAACATGGACTCAGTAGTTAATAAATTCGTACGGAAATGGCTTGAAATACCCGTATCTGGAACTTTAAGTAATGTCTTCCTCACAAGTAATAAATTTGGACTAAATATATACCCTCCATCCGTCAAGTTCACTCAGTGCCAAACAGTCTCTCGTAAAGCCTTAAAAACCTCTCCAAATGATTGTATAAGAAATTTATGGAAATCAACTTGCGACAATACTAATATACAGTACGACGTCTACACCTCAACAAAGGAAGTTCTTAAAAGTTTCAAATCTGCACAAGAGGACAAGCTTCAAAATCATCTGCTTCTCCAAGTCTCTTTTTTCTCTAACACCACCAAGTTCTCGTTGTCTACACTAAACAACCTATGGTCCAAATCTCAATCCAGCTTGCCAAAAAGCATCTATAACTTCACCATCCGTTACATCAACAACACTCTTCCCACAGGCAAAAACCTCACAAAATGAGGAATAATGTCAAACTCGGATTGTTCCCTCTGCCTGAACCCTGAAACCCTTCTGCATGTAGTCGCGGGATGCCAGTCATACCTTCCACGATATACTTGGAGACATGACTCCATTCTCAATTTTGTCTCAAAAATATTCCAACCTGAACACAACTCCACGCTATTTGTTGATCTTCCTGGATACAAGAGCCCATCAATAATAATCGGTGACACTTATCCAGGGGCGGATCCAGGATTTTTCGTACCACGCCGGGTCAGCTCTTCCCAAAAATCGGCCATTTGATATAAACTTTTTCAATATATTTCGGATGGACATGAAACTTGCTACATCAAATTAACTTTCCATTCCGAACAATCGTATGTTTTTTATTTTTGAGATTTAACGGGTTTTGGCGGGAAAATGACGTCACGAAACCTCCAGTTAAAATTTATTTTCAATACTTAATAGTTTTGTCGCAGAATTTGGAAGAACATATCATGAGCAGTTAAAAACTGAAAACGGATTTTAAATATCTAAAACTAATCCAAAGTTATTTCACTATAAAAACCGTGAAAAATCTATAAATAGTAACAAAATGGTGGAAACTTCGATTCTAAACTCCCTGTATCTCGTGATTAGATTAAGATATTTAAAATCTGTTTTCAGTTTTCAACTCTTCATGACATGATCTTCCACATTCTGCTTAAAAACTATTAAGATATTGAAAATAAATTTTAACTGGAGGTTTCGTGACGTCATTTTCCCGCCAAAAACCGTTAAATCTCAAAAATAAAAAACATACGATTGTTCGGAATGGAAAGTTATATTGATGTAGCAAGTTTCATGTCCATCCGAAATATATTGAAAAAGTTTATATCAGATGGCCGATTTTTGGGAAGAGCTGACCCGGCGTGTACGTTAGTCAAAGTTTTCGGATGTACAATTTAGTTTCGCGAGCGGCGAATGCGCGAGGTACCTAGGGGGGTCTGTCCCCCAGAAATTTTTGTATTTTTTAAACCTCAGAAACGCAATTTGCATCACTCTGAAAGCAGCTTCAACAAAAAATTAACTTCATAAAATGGGAGATAATTATAGCAATAATCAGTCTGACTGACTCTCACAACTCGCTCCTTAGGGAAAAGTAAAGGGGAAGTACTTGCAGAAATGTGATAATTGTGGAAGATGTTTCATTTGATCAAATTACGGATTGCTAGTATTATGTTTAACTATCTCATGATAGTACTACACTAATTTTTGTTGCCTAATAGCCTTGTTGAGTCATAATCACTACAGTGTCATATTACTCAAATAAACATATATCAATATTAAAGTCTTAACATTCATCTATAAAAGCTGACCTTTATATCCTATGTATACTGCATTAATGCATTTATATAGGTTATCCTCCATATTAATAGCGTTCTGACGGTCCTTCAACCGCAGAATTACAAATATGCAAATTTTTTGTGTGAATCAAAATTCGTAACTAAATCTAAATCAAGATACGCGTATTCAAGTTACAATTTTACATATGCATGGCGCGCATCTTGTTCGCTTATAAATATTGTCATGCTGTCTAAAACGAAATAAAATTTACATATCACATTAAATTTACCTTATTGCACTTCAGAATAAAGATCTCGGCGCCAATACTTCTACTCAAACAGTCAAACTGTAGTTCGTGCTATTCGTGGCGTTTACGCCGCTTAGCAACTGCTCACTGAATGGAACTCTCCGATATTTAGTGTTGATTTTCCTCCCAAGATCAGCGCAACAGTCTTGTAAGACAGCTAAATCAGTCACCGCAAATGCGGATTGAACCGTTTCGTAAATACTACAAACCAATGAGCAGCAGACATTTCCGAATTTTCCGTAGATATCTTTAAATTGAATCTTTCGACAAAGCTCCAACATGACACTTCGAATGAGCGCGCGCTCGGAAAGACTTTACCACGCGTCAAATATTAATGATATTTCGACTAATGGGGCGCCCCTGACTTTTGTAAATCAGTCAGAACTCCCCACAGATCAGTCAAAATCGCAAAAAATCGCTTGAGTTTCCATGGCAGTAAGCGTCTAGACCAATCAGAATACTGGATTCTGACTTTTTGACTGACCGACTTTGCGTATGTCAGCTGCTCATTGACTTGACTAAGCTCGTCGGCTCAACCACTGTATGAAATTTGATCACTGGACTACAGTTCAATTTGAATGTTAATTGCTAGCGCTGCATGATAATAGATACTGGAGTATTATAAGGTGTCGCTGCATGACAAAAAATAACTGGACTATTGGTCGAATATCTAAGACTTTAATTAAGTTTGCGATTTTTACGTTAGTCGCGTGACTGGTTTGACGACTCCTAGATCCGCCACTGGGAACAATAGTGCAATTTGCACCAGCTTCAACCCAATATTCATTATTTTTTGAATGTATATAACAGTTGCACAATATCATGACAAAATATATTTTGCCAAACACAGTGCTACATTCACAGTAGTTACCGCAATATTCTAAACAAAGTGAAATGTTTTAACTGTCAAATAAAGAAGACCCCCTCACTCATGAGTCATGTCACAATATCTGCCCATAACTTCCATACATGGTACAAACCTGTCCATAAACCGAAAGCATTGCGACGTAAAAATGGCGTGTGCTGCTTCCAGCAGTATAACAATTTTAATTAGTCATGTGATACACGATTGCAAAAGCTGATTCGCTTAGAATGATGACACGCCTACCATGATCCTATGATTATTATATTTCCAGAAGGCGAGGCAATGCCGCTGTCTCCTCCGCAGGCCCTCGTTGCGTCATGGGAAGGTCACGTTCTGGCGAGGGCCTGCGGAATCTTGTAAAAAAAATGGCGCCGGCGTCACGTCAGCAAGTAAATTTCTACATAATCTTGAATATAAACTGGATATAAAAAAGCGGCGTGAAACTTGTAAATTAAACTGGGGACTCTTAGGACGTGGAAGGAAGCATTTTTTAACGATAAGGTTTGTTGTCCACACCAACGTTGCATGAATAAAACTGCCTTCTTTAACGAAGCAGGTTCAAAACAACATTTATTCATTTTACAAGATTCCGCAGGCCCTCTCGAAA